ATCGTCTCTAGGCACCATGATGGTAATGCTGGTGCAGTAGTAAGGATGAATGGGAGGGTGTTGGCACCTGGAGAAGAAGTTAATATCCTTGGGGTGAAATTTGACTTCAAACTAACCATGAAGAACCATGTGTAAATCTTGCAAACAAGGCAGCCAGGAAGCTTACAGCACTTCGCCGTATCTAGCATCTGCTTGACAGTAGGGGTTGCAAGATCCTGTACGAGGCACAAGTACGCTCACACCTTGAGTATGCTCCACTTTCTTGGTTTGCCTGCCCCCCCCCCCTCTCATCTGCGAGTGCTTGACAGAGTAGAGAACAGAGCAAGATGTCTCATCTCTCGCCTGGACCCATCCTGGATAGATCTGTCATTTCAGCAGAGCCTTCAACATAGGAGGGATGTGGTGGCCTTACTGTTATGTACAAGGCCAATATTGTCAAAGTACCACACTTGGATCCACTTCGAGGACAGCGTGAAACAAGCTTTTATGCCACAAGACGGGCAGAAAGCAGCAACTTCACTCTGGCTGTACCCTTCTCCAGAATTTCACTCCATCTGAGATCCTATATACCCAGGATGACTCGAGTATGGAACACATTCGTACAGCATAATGATGTCAACGAGATAAAGTCAGTTGATCAAATGAAAATGCTGGCCCACAGATGGCTCCAACTTCATCCTGTTCCCTACTTGTATGTCTCATAACAATAAAAATGCTTTCAAATGAGCTGATGTAGGTAACAGCTCTTAGCTTGCCAATAAAGTTAGGAAACCTTAACCTGTAAATAGCTTGTCAATAAAGCTAGGGATCCTTAACCTTGTCAAACCCTGTATAAAAAAGAGAGAGAGAGAGAGAGAGAGAGAGAGAGAGAGAGAGAGAGAGAGAGAGAGAGAGAGAGAGAGAGAGAGAGAGAGAGAGAGAGAGAGAGGGAGAGAGAGAGAGAGATACCCAACGTCAGGGAAGGGAAAGAAACGCTACAATTGTTGATAAATTTCGCAGATAGGCTCGCAATATATTCCTAATGGGATAATCTGTTGTTACTCTAAACTTACAATTCTGTTGAACACGAGAGAATGCAACTAGATCTGAATCTGTGAATAGGTAGTATAATCACTCTTACTAAATGTTACGTCGTACTTTACTATACTATGCTGTTAGGACACCTGAAGAGCAGATTCTGCTTCATTTCATAAGGAATAGGTCACTGAGAGTGCAAGAAACTCAAGTACCTGTGTTAGGTAAAAGTTCACCGTATTTTTAATAAGAAAAGCACTACCTACAAGTGGTGTTTATCCTGTAGGAAAGCTTTGGCACAGATAATAGTGTGATATCAAGAATGCAGAGTGTGGAGGCAAGCGTAAATGTAAACTGGAGTTACACTTGCCGCTAAAAGTTAAAATTTTCTTTTGAGTGAATTTAGAAATACTTTATTTATTGTCTTTCGTGCCAAATTTGAAACATACTATTTCCTTTTGAGTGAATTTTTAAACGCACAAATTTGTTTCATTTAAGCTATTGCAATTCTTCTATTGTTACGTGTGTTTGGGGAACACCAGAGGCAGCTACTGTGCGGAAAGTGAGGGCAAACAAGAGTGCAATATACAAGGCTGCAAGTAGAACCAGGCAATATTGCTCTAGTTTAATATTATCCTGCCCACATATTAAATATTTCTGTTCTGGATAGTTTAGTAGAGTTTCCAACTCAGTAGAAATTCCTACACTAGTGCGGCCTGTACATCGAGCCACTTCAGGAGTATTACTGTCACTTCAGGAGTTTCACTGTCAGACTAATAACGTGCATTAATTTTATTTATGACAAACATTAATAAAGAAAGTGTCTTCGATAATGCGTGGTTAAAACTTAATGAAACATTCCGAATGTAACAGAAATTAATGCTCATACGCTACGAAAAATATAAAAGAAAGACATGCATTAAAATAGCCAAATTATGATTATACATTGATTTTGTATTATTTTTAATGGAACTGACAGGAAGAAAAGGGTTACAACTAAGTTTGTTTAATATTTATATATATATATATATATATAATATATATATAATATATATATATATATATATATATATATATATATATATATATTGTGTGTGTGTTTGTTTGCTATGGCGAATAATTAAACCGAATCGACTTATCACCTTGCGGTTACTGTTCAGCACCTGCCTCTTTTAAGATGAGGTATAATCTCGTTCTTATGTGCCTTTCTGTGAGAAATGAACACAGTATGCATCCCTTTATCCACTTCACCAACAATCTTTAAACATCAGAGCATAGTTCTAGCTGCCCAGACAACTTTTGTTCCGAGTAGTGAAATTAGATCTAACAAAAATTATCCTAAATGGATGAACAATAGATTAAAACATCTCATTGGTCAAAAAAGAGGCATACATAGACGTATCAAAAGAGGGGATGGGCAGTTAAGAAATCAATATATTCAGTTAAAGAGAGAAATAAAGAAAGGAATAAGAAAAGCAAAGAGGGATTATGAGGCTAAGGTCGCAAGGGATTCAAAGACTAACCCAAAACGGTTCTTTCAGGTATACAGAAGTAAGATTAGGGACAAGATAGGCCCACTTAAGAGTAACTCTGGTCAGATCACTGACAGTGATAAGGATATGTGTGAAATTCTCAATGTCTGCTTCTTCTCAGTTTTCACCCAGGAAAATACTAGCGATATTCCTGAAATAATAGATTATGTAGAACAGGACGATAATAAACTATGCACGATTGCGGTAACTAGTGACATGGTCCTCAGACAAATAGAGAAACTAAAACCTAACAAATCCCCAGGTCCTGATGAACTGTTTGCAAGGGTGTTAAAGGAATGTAAAGAGGAACTTAGCATACCTTTGGCTAATCTTTTTAACATATCACTACAAACTGGCATAGTGCCTGATAAGTGGAAAATGGCAAATGTAATACCTATTTACAAGGCAGGTGACAGGTTCTTGGCTTCGAACTATAGACCAATAAGCCTTACCTCCATAGTAAGAAAATTTATGGAATCAATAATTGCCGAAGCAATTCATAGCCATCTTGATAGGCACAGATTGATTAATGAATCTCAACACGGTTTTACAAAGGGGTGTTCCTGTCTTACGAATTTACTAACTTTTTTCACTAAGGTGTTTGAGGAGGTAGATCATGGTAATGAATATGATATTGTGTGTATGGACTTCAGTAAGGCTTTCGACAGAGTTCCACACTAGAGGCTATTGAGGAAACTTAAGGCACACGGAATAGGAGGAGAAATTTTTTCCTGGGTAGAGGCATGGCTGACAAATAGGCAGCAGAGAGTTTGCATAAATGGGGAGAAATCAGAATGGGGGCACGTCATAAGCGGTGTTCCTCAGGGGTCAGTGTTGGGCCCGTTGTTGTTCACAATTTACATAAACGACATAGATGAGGGAATAAATAGCGACATAAGCAAATTTGCTGATGACACCAAAAATGAGGACTGATGCAATGGTTGGAGAAGTGGCAGTTGCAGTTTAATATAGACAAATGCAAAGTTCTAAATGTTGGACAGGTAAATAACCATGCCACATGTAAACTTAATAATGTAGATCTTAATACTACTGATTGCGAAAAGGATTTAGGAGTTCTGGTTAGCAGTAATCTAAAACCAAGACAACAGTGCATAAGTGTTCGCAATAAAGCTAACAGAATTCTTGGCTTCATATCTAGAAGTATAAATAATAGAAGGCCTCAGGTTGTTCTTCAACTCTATATATCCTTGGTTAGGCCTCATTTAGACTATGCTGCTCAGTTCTGGTCACCGTATTACAGAATGGATATAAATGTTCTGGAAAATGTGCAGAGGAGGATAACAAAGATGATCCCATGTATCAGAAATTTTTCCTATGAGGATAGACTGAGGACCCTGAATCTGCACTCTCTCGAAAGGCGTAGAATTAGGGGGGATATGAACGAGGTGTATAAATGGAAAACAGGAATAAATAAAGAGGATGTAAATAGTATGCTGAAAATTTCCAGCCAAGGCAGGACTCGCAGCAATGGTTTCAAGTTGGAAAAATTCAGATTCAGGAAGGATATAGGAATGCACTGGTTTGGTAATAGAGTTGTGGATGAGTGGAGCAAACTCCCGAGTACAGTTATTCGGGCTAAAACGTGTTGTTTTAAAAATAGGTTAGATAAATACATGAGTGGATGTGGGTGGGTGAGTTGGACCTGACTAGCATGTGCTGCTGGGTCTGGTACCGTGCTCCATCCTTGAGTGAAGGTGACCGACTGGGTGGGTCATCGGGCTAATCCGGGGGTGGGTGGGTCATTGGGCTAATCCGGGGGGGAGGCATTGGGCTAATCCGGGGGGGGACATGGACCTGCTCCGCATGGGTCAGTAGGCCTGTTGCAGTGTTCCTTCTTTCTTATGTTCTTGTGTTCTTATGATATCAGATGCTCAGCTGTACTGAGCGTGTTTTCCCTGATGCAAGTTCATATGTGGTCGTGAAGCCTCAGAGACGAATTTCAACCTCATCCTGTTTATGTATATATATTGTCGTGAAGAACAGGTAAAACTTGCGATTTTGGCTTAAATAGCAACGCTCTTTATGCTGAATAAGGCAAACGGATATTTGTGTATGCAATAATTTCGCAAAAATCATTCTGAACCTACCGAGAAAAATATATTCGTTGTGTTTGTTTATTATTAAATTATTGTAAACTTACCTAAAACATATTTTTCTGGATTAGGCAAATTTAAATTACGCTTGTTATAATAAGGTTAGGTAAGTTTCACAAGGTTCTTTTGGTACAAAATTATATCTTTAAACGTATAAGAGAAAATTTTAGAAAGATTTAATTTTAAATGAGTTCTTGTTAAATGACAATTTTTTTTCCCTACAACAGTATGTATCAATCCATGGAAGGTGGGAAATAAACATAAATATCTTGGATGAAGGTTACCGACAGATTATCATAACACTTGTAACTCTACAGTTAATTGACATTCTTACCTACAGCTACGACACGAGGAGTGTGCCCTTCACCGAGGGCGTCAGGTGGACCGATAAGGGTTACCTGGGGTCTCGCGCCTTCTTCAGGATCATGTCTGACCCGCCTACCTTGGTAGTGGACGACGTCAAGGTGGCTGACCAGGCCGTCTATACCTGCAGAGTTGACTACAAAGTTAGACCCTCAGCCATCACCAAAGTCAATCTGACTGTTATCGGTGAGTGCTATTCTTACTTTCTCTCACCCTTTCCCCTTCGGGAATGTTGACTAATACGTCCTTAATTCACTGAGTAAGAGCTACCTTCTTCTTTCTTGGTACAAAGCGCATTATCTACTATTCCGCAGCCTCTGAAGGATCCCTATGTATTTTCTGCTTTCTAATCAATTATACTGAAATAATAATTCTACCCTCACTCAGCTCATTATACCATGCCCCTCCTTTCCTTTTTTTTCCTTCTCAGTCTCATTTGTCCCTTCATTTTTTTCTACTTCATGTGTGATCAGAGGACTGATCACACATGAAGTAGATATTGCTTTATGGAGGCGTCAAAGTAAATCTCTTCATGAACTATTTATCTGCACTTTAAAAGTGAGGGACTAACTACAATAAATAAATTATTCATTTTCACAAAGGTTTTATAATTCGTCCAACATGAACAGAATCATTGTTCCCCCCAAAATATGAGGCAGTACCAATACAGGAAATTTATTTGTTGTTGATCGCCATTGATATTACTGACGCGAAGATGATACTCGGGAAAATGAAAGGATGTGGAACATGTAGCTAAAGTGAGAATCTTGGAACACCATTAAGACAATCAAGGAACTTCGAAACTTCTTCGGAGTGCATTCTTAATAGTTCGAAGGCTCGGAACGCATTCCCTACAAGTTTGAAGCCTGGAACGCATTTATGGCGAGTCAAAAGCATGAGAAACATCATGGACAAGTCAGGAACTTGGAACGTATTACGGAGAATTCTGCCACCACTCACCAACCACTTACCGCCCTCAAATTACAAGCCATGAAAATGATGATTTGCAGGTTTGCCTGGAAGCTGCCCGTACCAAAATTCACGGGTACCAAAAAACGAAGGCAGTTGACTGTAGACCATCCTTCCACTGAAATAGATGGGGCAGTTTACTCCCTCCATGCCAGAATCAATGAAGCCACACAAGCATGCTGCGCATTGACAACTTCCAGGATCTACCAACAATACAAACCAACCAGGGAAATCAAGGACAGAATGAATAACTACCAAACTGAGTGTAGTAGACACTTGCACACAGGGCAGCCCACCCGGGAAGTACTACTAAGAATGAGGAGAGATCTAATCACCCTAATAACCCAACATAAAAGAGATTTATGGAAATATCTGGTGTTCCAAGCAAACCAGTATAAGCGCCACCCAGACCAATTCTGGAGTAAGATCCAAGACTCCTAGGGGCTAAACACACTCCCACCCAACACCGACGAAGACGGCGAGGAAGTGGCTACCCTGCTCGAAGACCCACAAAACCAAGCTAAGTTGATGGGAGAAGTATAGGAGAACATTCTCTCACACAATGACAGCAGAAGATTTAACAATAACCACTACCAGTGGGTCAACCAATGGCGAGACGAAAACCTGGAAGACCACCACCCTATACCATCAACTGACACATCTCTCGAAAACGACCACCCTCTAACTAGACCAATTACTCTCAGGGAAGTGTCCCAAGTCATTGGGCGAATGAGAAACACAGCGCCTGACCCATCAGACATAACAGCTAAACAATTAAAGTACCTTCCCCGTAACTGCAAGATGTCGCTGGTGAATGTCTTCAACGCCATCTTGGCATCAGGACATTTCCCAGTGGCATTTAAGACGGCAAGGATGAGCTTCATCGCCAAACCCAACAAGAACAACTGAAATCCCGAGAACTACAGGCCCATCTCCTTATTCGAAGTCACGGGCAAAGTCTTCGAAAGAATAATCTCAAACAGACTGAACTACTACATAGAATTCAACCACCTGTTCTCTGAAAGGCAGCTCTGCTTCAGGTCCCACCGCAGCACACAACATGTGATAAATATCATCTTTGATGCCGTGGCCAGCCTGAGGAAGCAAGGGAACATGACTCACGAAATCGTAATGAGACGATTGCAAACAAACCATACCGGCCACGCTAGCTGGAGATTCGTCTGTAAAAACTTGCATTTGTGGTCACAGTGGCGCCTATGCTAACCTTCCTATGGTGTAGAAATATACCTAGTTGGACGAATCTTATTGTGGCTAGCTGGTCCAGTGGCTAACGCGACGGTCTGGAGTTTTGAGACTCTTTGACCGCGGTTCAATCCTGCCGTGGTATGGTTTGTAAGCAAGGGAACCTGATCCTGATTGCAACTAGGGACGTACACAAGGACTTCGACAGCCTGTGGCACGATGGACTCATTTTCAAACTTGCAGATCTCCCAGATCACAACTGGGCCTTTCTCAGGCTCATATACAACTTCTTAACAGGTAGAAGTATCATTCCCACCTTCCATGGTACGGCAGCAACACCCTTCACGCCGACAGCTGGAGTACCACAAGGTTCTTGCCTCAGCCCTATACTCTTCAATATAGGTTAATGACCTCCCCCAGCCTGAAAACAATGATACCATCATCACCCAATTTGCAGACGATGTTATCCATGTAGGCTCTTCAACCCCCATCTCCGGTGCAAACAAACATAGGAGAGCAACAGAGAAAATGAACGCAGAACTAAGAACAGCTACGTGGGAAAAAAATGGAGAATCACAACCAACCCATATAAAGTCCTCATCAGCACCATCGGCTGTTTAGCATCAACCATAGAAGACAAAGCGGGCATTTCCATCAGAGGTACACGAATCGCTATTAGTAATCCAAACAAGATCCTAGAGTATGAGATCGACAGATTACTCCACTCTACATCCTACATAACCAAAAAAGTGAACCTAGCAAAAGCCCGCCTAGGCCAACTTTACCGATTGAATGCAGCTCCCTCCCACATCAAGAAACACCTGTACAAGATGATGATCAGACCTCTGCTAGAATACCCTTGCGTACCCATGTAATTAACAACTAAAATCAACATGCTAAAACTCCAAAGAGTCCAAAACAGAGCCCTCCGCTTTATCACTGCCACCAGATTCAGAGACAGACTCAGGACGGAAGACCTGCACACATAACAGAGAATCACTGCAATTAACGTCAGGCTAGACAAACTAAAGAGGAGACAACTATATGACAGAGATGACCCACCCCAACGATCGAACACGACCGGCTACACCATCAACACCCCTCTTCCCCCCACAGATCCCAAAGAATGACCCTCTAACAAAGAGTCCGACGCTTCGTCCACAAGGAGAACTTCCCTCGACCAAGAATCCTGAGTGACCTCCCCGAAGAAGAAGAATGGATACCACCAGAACCATTCTACGTCCAGTAACATGGATTAACGCTCCCCATTTCTGGGTGATCCACTTCTGTCAATCAACACCTCACAACTAACCTTGTAACATCTACAACCATCCTACAGCAGGACACCACCTCAGAAACTGCTTAGCCAACCAACTCCAGGTGAGCAACCAACCTCCATCAAACGACCTGTAACTACCACCTGCAGCTGCAGCCTTACAACCGACCTCTTGCGAGAAAAAAAAGGCAATTGCAAACAGTATGCATCCTTCCAATTCAGTGGCACACCGGTATACAGCTGGTATAGCGGTGCGTAATTGATGGGCAGGAGGTATGCCTATCTTATGAATTCAGCTTTTTCACGAATAAAACAACACACACGCACACGTATTTAAATTGCACCAAAGTGGATAGGCCACTTACCTTTAAAACCTCACTTCCCCCTCCACCCTCCCAAACCTTTCCCACATTCCATCCTGACCCATCCTTCTTCCTTCCCCATCTTACCAAAGCTCTGGTCAGAACCCCGCACCTCGCCGAAAAACAAATACCTGAGAGGGACATATCGCAATCCCTTAAAGCGTTTGTATCCTCAAGTGCGCCGTGTAATGGTACAAATACAAAGCAAGTCTTTATTTTAGATTATTCGCTCAGTATTGAACGTTGTTAACTATCAATATATATGATAAAGCGCAGTCAATCTTGAGCGAAACGTCGTCTTAAACAATGGTTAGCTCTGCATTACGTGACTTTATATCCACTGCTAAGCTTGCAGCCCAAGTCACCAATAATCTGAAGGATGCTAACGAGGAAACCAGAGAGAGAGAGAGAGAGAGAGAGACAGGACAAAAAAGAGAGAGATTATTAGAAGAGAGAGTAGGAACGAAGAGATGAGAATGAGAGAGAAGGAGAGAGATCGAGAAAAGGAGAGAGAGGAGAGAATGAGTCAGAAGTAAAGCGTTATTTCTTCAAAACTTGCCAATCAGTCCATAATTGCAGGTCTCGGCAGGAACCGGAGAGCGGGACGAAGGAAGAAATCGAGTAGAGAGTTTAGAGGAGGGGGATGAATTAGAAAGATGAGAGCATAGCGGAAGAGAGAGATCGAGAGATAGCAGACGGGAATGTCTGAATGAAACGATTATTCTCTAAACATGCACCAGACTCTAAATGTGCGGAATTCCCACCCTCGCTTGGTAAACCGTCTGGTTTTGTTTTTGAAGACCTGCATTAGAGAACGGAGTAAAATCGAGTACAACCCGGTTAGCTTTGGAATACACAAAGGTCCAATCCCTAGTAACAGAATTGGCAAAGCGAATCTTACGGCTTTAATTCTAATAACAATTGAGCCCGCGTTCAAATCCAGCCCGTGCAGTGTTTTTGAAGAGCCTTATGAAGAACACGGATATATGAGAGAACGGTAGGCTTTAAACCATCAAAGCTTCAGCAGTTCCCCTAAATTTGAATTGGGACATAGTGTAAGTTGAGCTAAGCGATTGTAAGCGGCGTCTTCCCAATGAAAGCATAAATTGTAGCTTTGAGAGACGGACAATAATGATGGGAGAGCTGGGTTGTTTGTTGGGAGGCCTCACGGGATTGTATATGAGAACTTGTGATGCTTTAACCATGCTTAATGGCCAGTAGTCCTTCCAGCCTGACACATTTCATACATTTTCATGTGTGTGTGTACTCACCTATTTGTGGTTGCAGGGGTCAGTTCACAGCTCCTGGCCCCGTCTCGTCGCTAATTATACTTGGTCCACTCTATTCCTGCTCCAAGACATTTATTGTGCTTTTTA